TAAGAGAACAAAAATCCTTCCTTCCTTCCTTCCTCAATGGCACGACAGCCCCGGGTGGGCCCTGGCCTTCTCAATCAACTTCCTCCAGGCCTGCCTCTGCCTGGCAGTTGTCTTCCAGTTTGAGACTTTTAAGACTGAAAAGTCTCTTTCCACGCAGTCGGCCCATCTCAGCTTTGGTCGACCTCTGGGCCTTGATCCGATGGGCTGAGCCGAAAAGATTATGTTTGTCGGACGCTCTCTGTTCATTCGAATGATGTGACCAGCCCATTTAATTCTTTGAATTTTTACATACTTGACAACATCAGGCTCTCTAAGGGCCCGATAGAGTTCTGAGTTTGAACGTCTGTACCAAGTACCATCAACTTGTTTGCCCCCAAAAATGGATCTTAGGATCCGACGTTCGAAGATTCCCAAGGAATTCTCATCTTTCTGTGTTGTTGTCCAAGTTTCTGAGGCATATGTTAGGATAGGTCTGATTAAGCATTTATAAATTAACAGTTTAGTATCTCTTTTTAGTAGGTTTGATTTTAAATATTTTTTTAATCCATAGAAACATTTACTTGCACTATTGATTCTTCTTTGTATTTCGGGTGCGATATTGCCATTAACGTTGACTTCAGAACCAAGATAAACAAAACTGTTTACTTTTTCAAACTTGTATTCACCAATTTGCAAGTGAGTTGTAGAATCAGTTATTTTGGTGCATTGCATGTACTTGGTTTTCTCCTGGTTAATAGTGAGATGCATTTTTTCTGCCTCTTTTTCCATGGATAGAAAAGCTTGCTTTAAGTCAGATTGTGTTCGCGCTTTGATGTCAATATCATCGGCAAACGGGAAAATTTGGACAGACTTATGAAAGATATGTCCTCTGGTATTGATTCCTGAATCTCTGATAATTTTTTCTAATGCCAAATTGAAGAGTAGGCATGCCAGAGCATCGCCTTGCCTTACACCATTTTTTACCTCCATTGGTTTCGAGAAGTCATTTTGGATTTTAACTTTCTGCATGGTCTTACACAGTGTAAGTGTGGTGAGTCGTACAAGCTTGTCCGGGATATTGAATTCTCGCATAGCTTCAAAGAGTCGCTTCCGGTTTACACTGTCGTAAGCAGTTTTGAAATCCACAAATAGGTGGTGGGTACCAATTCCAAATTCTCTGATCTTTTCCAGAATCTGTCTTATGCAAAATATTTGGTCAGTTGTAGACCTGACCTTCCTAAAACCGCACTGGTATTCACCAATGATGTTTTCTACATAGGGGCTAAGTCTGTTAAATAGAATTTTTGAAAAGACTCCATATGCAGTGCAGAGCATGCTGATACCCCGGTAGTTTGAACATTCAAGAATGTCTCCTTTTTTGTGTATAAGACAAACAGTGCTGTGTTTCCATTCTTCCGGGAGTATCTCTTTTTCCCATACTGATGTTAGAATATTATGTATGGCCTTTAACCCATCTGGTCCTGAGTTTTTGATGAATTCTGGTGATATCAAATCTGGGCCAGGAGCCTTGTTGTTCTTAAGTTTTTGTACTGCTTCTTCAACCTCAATCATTGAAAGAGGTGCAATGCACTCTTGGTTAACGTTTGGTGAACAGGACTCTGTCTGAACGCACTCTACATTAAGTAGGTTGTCGAAGTGTTCATTCCACCTATTGAGAATGTCGGTTTCATCGCTTAAAATATCTCCATATTTATTTCTGCAAAGGTTAGTTCTAGGTTTGAACTCCTGACTACCAAAGTTAATACCACGAAAGAAAGCTCTGCTCTCATTAGACCCTCGGAGATGTTCGACATCCTTAAAGAGGTCTTCGTGAAAAAACTTTTTCTTCAACCTATGAACTTCTTGCAGTTTTGTATTTCTCTACTGATGCTCTCGAGTGTTTTTTACTGAGCATCATATTATATGCATCGTTTTTCTTTGGGTCGCGCTGCGACATTCTGTATCAAATCAATCCTTTTTCTCAGCTCTTTTTATTTTGCTTATTACATTATCACATGTGTCCAATAGGGCTTCTTTGAAAGAAGTCCACTTTCCATCTATGCAATCAATATTTTCGATTGCTTTTTCATCAAGCTTCATAGTTAGTAGTGACTGAAAGTCATCCCTGACTCTAGGGGTCTTTAATTGTTCGCAGTCAAATTTCTCAAGACGTTTCCCATGACATTTATGTGCATTAGATAGTTTGGCCTTGATCCTGCTCATTACCATGTGATGGTCTGAGTCAAAGTTGGCCCCACGATAAGTTCTAATATCTTGTATGTCCGTCATATGTCTAGAGTCTATCAATATATGGTCAATCTGGTTGGAGGTATCTCCATCTGGTGATCTCCAGGTCGTTTGGTGAATTCTCTTGTGTTGGAAAAAGGTCCTGGATATGACCATACTATGTTCTGCAGCGAAGTGAATGAGCCTCTGTCCATTGTCATTTGTTGTTTCGTGCAGGCTGTATTTTCCAATAGTGGGCCTGTGCTCAGCTTCCTTTCCAATTTTAGCATTTAAGTCACCCAAAATAATTTTGATGTCGTTTTGTGGACAGGAGTTATATAGAGAATGCAGGTTCTCATAGAAAAGTTCTTTCTCGTCTTCATCCTTGTCTTCAGTAGGTGCGTGGGCATTTATAAGACTGTAATTAAAGAATTTTCCTCTTAGCCTAATTTTACATAACCTTGAAGACTTTGGCACGAAATCCATGACAAGATGCCGAATGTGTTTGCCCACAACAAAACCCGTTCCAAAAATATGCCTCTTCTTATCACAGCTATAGAAGATTGTGTGATTTCTCTTCTCGATTATTCCATCGTTAAGCCACCTCATCTCTTGCAGAGCCATTACATCAGCCCTGTAATTATCCAGCTGTTCCGTTAAGAGTTGCAGCCCTTTGCTTTTATACAAAGAGCGAATGTTCCAAGTTCCGATTCTCAGTTCCATGTA